ATTAGACACAGTAAAAAAAACACAAATAATAATAAAATAGAATAATTTTAACAATAAATGAGCCAGGTGTGATACACACATGTAATCCCAGCACTCAGGAGGTAAAAGAAGGAGGATGGAAAGTTCCAGGCTAGCCTGGAACAAACAACAACGCAGTATGTGAAAATACAATTTACACGCTTTCTTTTTTTTTTTTTCTGACCTGGCTAGTTTTCAAATTTTATAAATTTTCTTCTCCTCTAATGATCCTATGAACCATACCTTATATGGAAGTTGAAAAACAAATCCCTATCTACATCCTTATTTTCAAGAGTGAAGTAAGAAGCTGAAGCTCAGTGAACCCTGAAAGGACATCAAGGAATAGAGGTGGCCCAGCTTTGCCTTTATTGGAAAAGGAGAGGCAGCTGGGAGGAGACTACACGTTGGTGTGAGGCTGAGCCTCTGTCGGGAGCTGGAGAAACAACATTCATTACCAAAAAATATAATATAGCTCTACAAACAGTTGACTTAAGCAGGACATTCTGCTTGCACAAGTAACCTTGGGAAAGAATTTATGGCAAGGTTATCTTTCTCTTCCTCTTGCAAACAGTTCTCGGAAAAATGAGTCATGCAGTAATCTCTTGGAACATCTGGTGGTCAGTCACGTTGCTGAATTGCTCAGTCCCCCTCCCATACCCATAAGAATGCTGTAACCTTTGACCAACTTCTTCAACCCCCTCTGAATACAAACTGTATATAATAAAGGCTTGCAGTACAATAAAGCGGCCCTTGACAAGTGGACTTGCTTGGGCTCCGTCTCTTCTTTCTCGCCCGTTTTTCCTTTCAGGGAGTGGTCCCCCTCGAGCTTTACCTGTACAGGGTCCCCGCAGGCGGGGGCAAGCCTCAGTGTTCAAAGCTACACTGGGTTCCTCATTTCCTCACGTCATATTGATAGCAGATGGACATTTGGACACAGTCAGTTGACAGTTGTAGAATGAAAAGTCAGTTGAAATCACCACATGAAAGGGGAGAGACCAAACAAGTCCAGTAAGTCTCAGTCCCACACAAGGCAGTGATCTTGTCTAGCAGCCAGAGCACAGCACCTTTGTCCACCTGAGCTCCTCCTCCTTCACCTCACAACAGCAATGACCACAGCTCCACAGAGAACCAGCTCAGCAGGATGCCCATGATGGAGGTGGAAGGCTGGGAAGACCTTTCCTGTCTCAGGGTGAGAGACTCTGGCAGCTCCTCAAGTTGCACATGGCACAAGTAGCTCTGAGCCTCTCTAGAAGGTTCCACCACAGCTGCATACTTCTGAAAGTTTCCATCTCCTGTAGGCTTAGTCTCCACAAACTCCATGTCCTGAGTTTGGCCTTCCCCATCCCTCTGAGGCCTGTCAGGGTGATCTCCACAGGGTAGAAGCCCAGGGCCCAGCATCTCAGGGTGACACCCTCTTCTGGTCTGGGATGAGGAGTCACATGTATCTTTGGAGGTGATGCACTGCACATGGCAGCGTCTCCTTCTCATCGAGCACTTAGCTTCCAGGTAGGCCCTGTCGTGCCAAGCCAAACCAGAGGCTCCCCTCCGGACTAGATTTATAGGCAAGTACCAATGAGTCTAGCAATGAAAATGAGTTGAATGTGATTTCTCTTGCTCTCAAAATATGACATTTTGGGGGCTGGAGAGATGGCTCAGTGGTGAGGAGTACTGGCTGCTCTTGCAGAGGACCCGAGTTTGCTTCCCAGCACCCACATGGCAGCTAACAACTGTTTTTAACTCTAGTTCCAGGGGATTTGATGCCCTCTTCTGACCTCTGTGGGCATTGCATGACACAGGTGCACTTATATACATGCAGGCAATACACTCATAAAAATAGTAAAATGTTTTATAAAAACACGGTATTGTCCTTAGTATTTGGGGGCCATGGTTAACCTTGGGTAAGCAGAAACAGGTAAGGGGGCATCTCTGCCATGAGGGAGGGGACTAGCTAGCATGCATTCTCCCACTGTTTTGGAAGCTACACGTCTAGTACATCCAGTGATCCTTGGCATTCTGAGATTTATAGAGGTAATACTCTGGTCTCTGCCTCTGCAGCCACATGATTATCTCTTCTGTATGCAGTCGGACCTTCCTGTCTCCTTCTTATGAAGATACCCGTGATGATGACACTGAGAGCCCATCTCAAACATCCTACATCATCTCCCTACCCCAAATTAATCATATCTGAAAAGTAATTTTTTCATATATCTTTTTTAAAAATTATGCATATTTGTGGTGGAGGCCAGAAGAAGGCCTCAGAGATTCCCTGGAGCAGAAATTACAGGTGGTTGTGAGCTGCCCAACGTGGGTGCTTGGAACCAAACTCAAGTCCTTTTCAAGAGCAGCGAGTACTCTCAACCTCTGAATTCTCCAGTTCTGTTTTTGTTTCTTTTCTTAAGGCAGGGTCTCTCTATGTAACCTTGGCCTGGCTGGCCTCAGACCCACAGAACTCAGCCTGCCTCTGGCTCCCCAGTGCTGGAATCAAAAGTGTGCACCACCATGCCCTGCTCCATTCTGTATGTTTTTTTTTTGTTTTGTTTTGTTTTTTTTTTTTGTCTTTTGAGACAGCCCTGTAGCCATAACTAGTCTCAAACCTGCTATGACAGCCAGGCTGGCCTCAAAGTCACAGAGCTCTGCCTGCCTCTGCCTCCCAAGAGCAAGAATTAAAAGCAGAGGCCACCATGTAAGTGATTTGATTGCTGGTATATTTATTGTTGTGTATGTAGTGCCTAAGAAGGCCAGAAGAGGATGCCAGAGCCAGAACCAGAGCCACCATGTGGTTGCTGGGAACCAAAACTGGGTCCTCTGCAAGAGCAGTCAGTGCTCTTAACCACTGAGCCATCACTCCAGCCTCTTGATGTTATTTCTTAACCTTCCTGTTATTTCTTGATGTTATTTCTTAACCTATCAGTGTAATTTATAGCATTCACTTCTCATCTCCCTTTTGTAAGTCTCATAGTTACATTGTGGGAAAGCTTTTGTGCCCTTACCATCCCCCCCCCACATCCACAAACCCTCTTCCTCCTTTTATGACTTCTTGATTCTACTGATGTACCAGAGCCCAATGTCAAATGTCAAAAATTCTTAATACCACGTTTCCTTCCTCCCTAATTAATGAATCATGTTTAGATTGTGCAGCTGAACATCAACCAATGAAGAACAGCCAGGCTCCTTCTCTTCAGAAATAAAGGGGAAGGCCATCTTAACAAGATATGCTTGACCTTTTGTTCTCGCACCCTTCTGATCAGAAGTAAAGTCTGCCTTGCCAGGAGGCTTTCAACTAGAGTGGTGGTCTCTTTCTTTGCCACCCCTGTAATCCTAACACTTGCAAGGCTGAGGCATAACTGCCTAGAGTTAAGGCCTACCTGGGTTACACAGTGAATTCCAGCCCAGCCTGAGTTAGAGGAATGAGACCCCATCAAAAAAAAAAAAAAAAAAAAAAAAAAAAAAAAAGGAAGGAAAAGAAGGAAGAAAGGAAGGAAGGAAGGAAGGAAGGGAGAGAGGGAGGGAGGGAGGGAAGGGAAAAAAGCCAGGTAAAGTGACACAGGCCAATAATCCTAGCACTGTGTATGTGCGTGTGTGTGTGTGTGTGTGTGTGCGCACACGTCTGTGTGTGTTGAATAAGGAGCTCCACATCATCCTCTACTACATATACATAGTTGGAGTTTGAGGCCAGCCTGAATTATGAGACCCTGTCTCACAAAGCAAGAGGGAGGTAGGGAAAGAGGGAAGGAAGGAAGAAGGGAAGGAAGGGAAAGGGGTTGAACTTCTCTAAAAAGCAGTTTTGTGTTAAAGTTTTATGTACCATACAATGTGCTTTCATAGCACAATCAGAAAAGGTCGTTGTTCAGAAATTTAAATCAGGAACTTCTAAAAGTCTCATTATTGCTAACAATACTTCATTTATTTAGCATTATGTTTTAAACAGTATTTCATGTGTAGTCAACAGAAGACATGGAATCTGGAGCCATGTGGATTTCATTCCAATTAAGTTCTAACCATGTTCTGAATATAATTTCTTTCTTTGGAATAAGAAATAGTCATATGGTTTACACTGAAAAATTACACTCATTTAAAAAAAAAAAAAAATCTTCCCAATTCCTCCTAACAACCTACCCATCACTTCCGGATGGAGGTAAACCAATACTGACATTTTTATATCCTTGCCAAGCTATTTTATGTATACAGTGCAAGCAAATGTCACATAGAATCTTGTAGTATTTTATTACATACGTTAGCACTGAACATGGAAAGCGTGAACCTTTTTCCACTAAGCAATGAGTGTGGTGGGAAGGATGCCACCCCAAAATTACACAAATGGCCTACATTAGTGCCTGGCTTCAAGTTAGCACTCACTAAAGACCCTCTTCCTCTTCCTCCTCTTACGGGGTGTGCGAGGCCAGGGGTTGTCAAAATGCCCCAGAATCCCCTTGGCCCTTGTCCATCACATTATCAGGCCTCATTCTCTGCACAGCTTCTAATTTGGGGAGTGTGGGAAGACTGATATTCATATTTCAATGAGCTCCCTGAAGATGCAGATGCTGGCCAGATGGTCTTTGAGAACCTAAAAGTAAAGTGGAAATAGAGTCCAGTGCCGGCCCCACAGCCTGAGCAGAGCTGAGACCTGACAACTAAGTCATAGCAAGCATTCAAATAGTACTGTCCGGCAACGGCCTGTTAAAGGGATACGCCGCCACTGCGCTGCGTTGTTTTTTGTGTGTTTTTTTAATTCTTTTTTGGGGGGGGGGGGGGATGGCGGGGATCTTTTTGACACAAGGCTGGCCTGGAACTCTGTAGACCAAGCTGCAGCATTTAGAATTTAAAGCAATTACCACACGCTGGCCGGCCGAGAAGCGCCGCAGGCCTGGATGGAAAGGCGTTCCCGCGTACGTCACGGGGCAGCCTCGCTCTGGATGGTGCCGGAGAGCCGACGTGCGAGGCGGCGCGCAAGAAATGGCGGAGGAGACCGGGCGTGGCCGCACCTCCGCGGCCTGCCAGCAGGGGGCAGCCGCACGTCTGAGTCCCGAGGCCGGCTGGAACCGGTCTGACCGGAAGCTTGGGCGTGGCCTTCGCTTCCGCTGCAGCGCGCCACGTGGCGGAGTGGGGTGAAGGGAAGCTGTGAGAAAACAACAAGATGGCCGCACGGGGGAGGGGTGCGTCGTCCGCGCCCTTGAGGCAGCGACTGGTAGGGCGGCGTGGAGGGGGAGCTGCGTAGTGGGGCGGAGCCGACTTCCGCCAGCCCCGGAGTCAGGGGACCGGATGTGGGCAGGGGTCGGGCCCAGGGCAGCAGTTACACAGCAGGGGTCTTCTTTTTATTTTTTATAGCGGGACCTCCGAGCGGGCGTTGTTTCCTGGAGGGAGCGATTAGGTCCGCACGTACAGCAGAGCAAGGCCTACTAGGAGCCCGGCCAATGCATTCTCCCACCGCAGCTCCTGCACGGTCTGCATGCTCAGGCTGCGGACTGGGTCGCCGGTTCCCACTGGCATTCCGATTCCCGGGGACAGCGAATGTGGCAGAGGCCCAACTTCTGGGTCTTTGGTTTTTTCCCTTTATTTTTAATATTGCCGTTGAACTTGAATATAGTTTCTAGTTTTAGTAAGAGAAATGCACGTCTGTTGCTATGTGTTAACACGGGAAATAAAGCAGAACCTCCTGGCGTTCCCAGCGGTTCCTGGAAGGCCCGCCCCCCGCCCCCCATCCCTGCCCAGGTCTTTGGAGGTCCACTCGTCCCAGCCCCACGGCGTTCGTTTTCCTTACCTGGCTTTGGGAGGCGGAGGAGCTAGAGGGAAGAAGAAAGTTAACACTTACTTAGAAAATGATGGCGTGTTTAGAATAAGGTATTTGTCGCCTTGGAGCTGCGATTTAAGTTTCTAAGGTAGGATTCGGATTCTCTCTGCCGTTATTTGCAAAGTTCTGAAGCCATTGGCATGTCTGATGAGATAACAGACCCCACATACACACGTTGGTCTCCTAAAGGCTTTGGAAGTTTAATATTTTGACTGAACTGTGGCCACACTAGTTAATGGACGCACGCAAAGCTCGGGATCGAAACGGCATTGGTGTTAAGTGAAACTAGAAATGAGATGGTGTGACAACAGGAAAAAGGGACTCTTCAGGCCTTTAAGGATTAAAATGCAGTTCTGACCCAAGCAGAGGTTTGAGAACCGCCTCCCTTCAGCCACAACTGGTATTCTGTATAATTTTGAAATAAATTGTAGAGGCATGCTATTCCAGACCTCTGAGGAACCGAAATACGCACTTCCTAAAGCCTGCAGTCCACCAAAAGGGCGGAGGGGCGACAAGGCGGCTTTTCTCTGGATCCTTAAATGCAGAGGGTCTGGAATCATCCGTTCCTCTCGTCCACCTGAAGGAAGAATAGAGCTTCCTTCATAACAGTATTCCTGTGTTTTGCAATAATCACCCCATTTTTCCCCTCTCCCTTGCAAATATTGTTTAGACAGAATCTTTGAACTTTCTCTAAAATGCCCAAGGCATGAATGTTCCTTAGGCCTTAAGGTTTTGCCTACAGAATTTCATTAGCAGACTTCCATTAAAAAGTATTTCAGATTTTTAAATAAAATATAGCAAGTTAAAAAATATATACATAAAAAAATTTAAAGCTGTGTTCTAATCAGATACACTTAGTTTTCAGTACAGACTATTTTGGGAGATTACCCTGTGTGTGGAATTTGGTACCTCCTTTACTAAGCTTTAAAAATATTTGATTTCAGGGCTGAGAGTTGTAGCTCAGACCCTGGGTTCAAGTCTCAGTACCCTTGCCCCCCCCCCACCCAGGAAAGTTTTATTTTTGATTATGCTGGATAGGAAACATGAAAAACACGAAAATATCACGCAGAATACCACTCCAAGAATAATTACTATTAGACAAGTTTTACAACTGTGTTACTTACAATGTGTATGTAGCTTTGTAGCCTGTGTTTTGTACTTTGCCAAGTAAAGTGTACATTTTCGTTCTATGTCAATAAGAATCTTCGTGATTTATATAGCCAGGTGTGGTGGCACACGTTTGTAATTCCAGCACTTGGGAGGCTGTGGCAGGAGGACTACTTTGAGTCACAGGCCAGCCTCCAGGTTACACTTAGAAATGCAGTCTCCAAAAATCAGAGGGGCAGAGGAGCTGGTTCAGTTGGTAAAACACTTGCAAGCCTGATCACTGAGCTCCATCAGGAAAAACTAACATGGAAGAGGAAAGCCTACTACACAAAGTTGTCCTTTAACTTCCACATTCCTGCTGTGTGACACGCTCCAATCCTTTCCTGATAGAACAGTCATCAGGATTTTAGAAACTGTATGGGTCCCCTACAAGAGCAGCCAGTGCTCTTAACCTCTGAGCCATCTCTCCTGCCTGTCAGTCCTTTAGAAGGACAAATACTCAGGCCTTGATGACCTGGAGCTCTAAGGAACTCCCCTACCTCAGCATCCCAAGACTGGGATTACAAACATGAGTCACCACAATGAGCACCATTATCACTTTTAAACACACAGATCCAGGAATTCTTTTTGTAGGAATGCATAAGTAATGTCATACAAGGACAAAAAGAATCCATACAAAGATACGTTTTTGATCCAACATTTGTGTTCCTAGCTAGTAAAACTTTGTAAAAAAAAAAAAAAAAAAAAAGATACGTTTTTGCAGTAGTAAGATTATATAATCCATTGGGCATGGTGTCACAGGCCTTTAATCCCAGCACTCAGAAGGCAGAGGCAGGTAGATAGCTGTGAGATCAAGACCAGCCTGGGATGATCCGCATAATGAACAGCTGGGACTACAAAATGAGACACTATCTCAAAAAACAGAACAAAACAAAAATTATAAAATCCAGGAAAGCATATTGCCCCTATAGTGAAATACCACATGGAAAAAATTAACAGTTGTTCTCTATGCACTGATTTCCAAGAGATATTAAATGAAAAAAGAAGAAAATAATGTATAGGGACTGGGGATATAGTTGGTTCAGTTAGTTGAGTACTTGTCTAGCATGCACAAAGCCCTGAGTCAGACCCCTAGTATCAAACAAAATGAGGTTCGGTGACATATGTCTATCTATAATCCCAGCATTCCAGAGGTGGAGGCAGGAGGATCAGAAGTTCAAGATCTTCCTTGACTACATTACAAGCCTGAGACCAGGCTGAGCTACATCAGACCTTGTCTTATTAAAAAATATCCTGCCAGCCTCTCTGCCAATTTATTCTCTTTTGAGATCAGCTCACTGAGTCACTTCCAGTTTCCACTCCCAGCCTTAATCCGATAAACTCAACCTGACGTTCCCACAGTTCTCTGAGCAAATGGTGCCATCACATTTCATTTATGGTGATTATCATTTTACAGGACTGGCCAAGAACAAGGACTTCTACCTTGTCTCTCACACTCCTCCCAAAATGTATGCCTTGCACATGGCGAGCACTCAATAAATAACTGCTTCATGAATGAATGAAAGAACAAGTTACTAAGAAGTGCTCTTGGAGGACCTCGTGACTTAGTGGGGAGACAGCCTGGATGCTGTGTGTCATGCTCATGCCTCAGACAGAAAAATCCAATTCCTCTTGTCTCCTGTGAGTCCTCAGATTAAATTTGCTGAATTTAGCAAGTAAAAATACAAGTTACTCATTAAATTTGAATTTCAGGTAAACTAAAAATAACCAATATTTTAACTTTTACAAAAACTTTATTGAGAATTTCATGCATGCTATATATAAGGTGTTTTGATCAAATCCATGCCCACTCCCTCCCAACACCTCCCATATCTCCCCATCACTTTTTTCTTTTTCTTTTTTTTTCCTTCTTTCATTTATTTGTTTTTATGGGGCTATTGGGTACTCTAATATTCCCCCCTCTGAAGAAGTAACCCTAAAATCTTTTCTTGTTTTTGGTCTTTTTGAAAATCTTTCAAGGATTAGATACAAGCTCCCAAATACTTTTGACATTTTTGGCCTTTGGAACAGAGTATGTTGCTAACAGTCCCAAGGACATTTTGACTTTTAGCCAAGAAACTGGCTACTTTCCTTTGGGGTCTTTTTACCCTAACTGCCTAGCAAATTCCTACCCCCTACTTTTTTTTTTAATTATTTTTATTCATTATTTTCATTTTATGTGTATGAATGTATTGCCTGCATGTATGTGAGTGCACCCGTGTCATGCAGTGCCACAGAGGTCAGAAGACAGTGTCGGCTTCCCCTGGAACTGGAGTTAAGGACAGTTCATAGCCAATGTGTGGGTGCTGGGAACCAAACCCGGGTACTGTGCAAGAACAGTCAGTGTTCTTAACTGCTGAGCCATTTCTCCAGCCCCCTACCTCCTATTCTTATCATGCCATCCTCTGAAGAGGTTCCCCAAATTACCAATAGGGAATCAGGACACAGACTGCTCTGGCTTCTTCCATGCTGAACAAGGACACAGGATGGGACAATTGGAGTACCCCTTCAGAAGGTCTATCTAAAAGACTCCCAAATTGCATAACTTTTCCCTAAGGGAAGAAGAAAGCCCTTGAATCATGAATAGGAGATGTGAAGGAGAAGTAAAGGCAAGAGTAATTAGCATTACAAGTTCTAGACAGGGAACTAGAAAAAAGTAAGAACAGGGCAATTTTCAAATGTTCATATGAGAGTCCATTGGAATTTCTTGACAAGGGCTTCCAAAAGCATCCCTCTATTGGGTTCCTCCTCATTTTTCTTTTGTCTTCCAAGGCTGGACTCTAGAGTGATGGATTCAATATTTGCAATAAGCAATATTTTTTAGTAGTAGTATGTAATAAATTCTAGTTATATTAAAAAATTATTCATTGCTTATCAGTAATTTTAGTATGTGTCATTACCTTGTCTGTTATTGTGATAAAATAGTCTGACAAAAGCAACCTAAAGGAGAAAGGATTTCTTTGGGCTCAGAGTTCAAGATGCGGTCCATGATGACCACCAAGCAAAGGCAACAGGAGCCTGAAGCAACATCCGTGGTCAAGAAGCAGAGGGCAACAGATGTCTGTGCTCAGTTTACTTTCTCCTTTTTCTTTTCTTTCTTTGTAAATTTTATTATCGCTATGAGCATGGTGTGTGGGGGTGGGCATGCTATGATACACTTGTGGGAGTCAAAAAACAACATTATGGAGTTGATTCTTGCCTTCCTTTTTTTCCTTAATTCGGGGGAGAGGGTGAACACATTCCCCCACTACAACAAATTATACAGTCGAGTTTCCACATTTGGGAATTGCAGGGTCAGCAAATCCAGGGGTGCAGTGGATGAGCCTCACCCTGGGAAAACCACTTTTGAAAAAGGAAAAGCTCAGAGACAAGAAACAAAATGGGGGAGGTGAACAGGAGTCTTTCCCTTTGCCCCCTGTGTTTACCCCACAGAAGTCTTTGTTCTCCAAAGCTTTCACATTCCTGTAACGTTTGCTGCTCTATATTATTTTTCTTAATTACCATGTATATACTATATACCTTTTGCTTGCATTTCCTCACATATGAATATAAAAAAAAACCAAAACTGGAAGGGGTTGCTGGTCAGTCCACTAGCATAAAATTAAACTCTCTTCACCTAACTTGGGTGGATGGGGGGGGTCTCTGATTTTGGTGTGGTCTCTTTAACACATAAAGTGTACACATCTTCTCTGCAGATGGAATTCAGGTGGCCAGGCTTTTACAGCAAGTGCCTTTACCCACTGAGCTATCTCAAGTGCCATCTTTCTTTCATTTTCATGCAGCCCCAAACTAAAAACCAGGGAATGGTGTGGCTCACTTTTAGATCTTCCCACCTCCATTAACCAAATCAAGACAATCCCTTACAGGCATGGCCACAGGCTAACAGACTCTAAATCTCTTGTAGGTGTGCCTGGAAGCTTTCCTTTCATTCCAGATCCAGTCAAGTTGACAGCACTAACCATCACAATATACAACATATTTTATTGGTGGTAATACCTCCAAGCACTGTCTTCCTACATAACACCCAACTGTATTGAAGGATCCAAGTCACACTGGCTCCATTTTTTTAGCAGCCTCCATCTTGTCAGCCTTAAGTCTCTGTTCCTAGAAACTGTAAGTCTCCTTTGCCCCATACTGCGGGCTAAGGTTAGGCAAGCCCCGACATGCCTTGCTGAAACCAACCGAAATTCCTTACCATAAAAGGGCATCCAGAGGCCGATAGGGGCACCCTACCGTAAAAGGACAAATTGAGACATTCCAGGCGGCTGACCATGACTATAACCAATGAAATCCCCACACACAAGGAATTCAGAGTTATCCAATCAATTCAAAGTTTGCCCAGTTTGCGCAGGCTATTTTCAAGAGTACCCAATAAAAAACCCCCGCTCATTTTTGGTCGGGGCCGGACTCCATTTATTGGCTCCTGGAGTCTGTGCCCAACTGGTCATTCAAGAATTGGAACGCTTTTCAATAAAATCTTCTAAATTTCGAATTCTGGTGGGTGGTCTCCAATCATTCCCGAACCTCGGATCCAACAGTATTTTCTAAGTTTATGCTGTGTTTTGTATTTTGAGATAGGATCTTAACTCTGTAGCCTCTACTGGCCCGTAACTCACTATGCAGACCAGGCTTCAACTTGAAGTTGAAGCAGTCCTCCTGTCTCTGCCTCCCAAGTGAGGAGATTACAGGCATTTACCTCAATGCAAGGTTGTTAAAATTTTGTGGGGATTTTTTTGAGACAAGGTCACCCTATAGCCACAGCTGGCCTGGAACTCACTGTGTTGACCAGACTGGACTTGATCTCAGAGCTCCATCTGCCCCTGCTCCCGCTGCGATTAAAGGCATGTGCCACCAGGCCTGGCTATAGTTTTTACCTTATTACCTTATAAACATTTTCCTTTCTTCAAAATCTTTTCATTATACTTCAGAGTTAGCTTCTAATTTGTAGTAATTTGGTCTCTTAGACACTTTATAGAACTGAATCTAAGAGAAAGAATTATGGCGACAATCCATCTGAATCTCTGTCTCTCTGTCTCTGTGTGTGTCACACTGCCTCTTTCTCCGTCTTTCTATCTATTCTCCCAGACAGTGTAGACTATTCTAGTACCCAGAACTGTTTGTTATAAAATACCCCTTCCCTGCAGAAGAAAGATGGAAAAGACACTGTCCAGCTCAGACACCAACCCCTGCACAGGCCTGGCTCTGCAGGCATCATCTGTTATCACACACTAGGCTTTCTTCAAGGAGACTGCACTTTCAGATGTCAGTTCTTTAGCAGTGGTGATAGAACATGAAGGCAATAAATGAATAGCAGGCACCAGCTGCAACTGCACATGTTTTTGTTTCCAAGGCATAGTTCCCATTCCATCCCCAGAAGCCAAAGCACTTCCTTGGCACCACACACCTTTTTTGTTACAACCAATTTCCTTATGGTTCTAGAAAGATAATGTGGTCCTTTCTTTAGTATACAAACTTGAAAATTCACAGGCAGAACACTGTCCTTCTGTCTAAACCCATGCAAAATATTTTCTTAACTAGCACAGCTCAGCATTCTGAAAACCAGGAAGCATCCTTTACAAATCATTAAGTCAAAAATGAAATTTCAGAGACTTTTTTTTATTTTTCATTTTTTATTTCATGTGTATGAGTGTACTGCTTGCATGTAAGTGAACCTGTGTCATGCAATGCCCTCAGAAGTCAGAAAAGGCTGTCGGAGCCCCTGGGACTGGAGTTACACACAGTTGTTAGTTGCCATGTGGGTGCTGGGTTCAAACGCGGGTCTTCTGCAAAAACAACTAGTGTTCTTAACCGCTGAGCCATCTCTCCAGCCCCAAGAGACTTTTCAATAGAGGCAAAAAACATGTTAAAGGTGGCTTAAGGTAGAAATGTAGGGAAGGATCAAAAGGCTGAGAACATGGGCAAAAATGTCCCAGTCTGGGACAAAAAATTAATTTTCGAGGGTCATTGTAAGACTGGAACATCACTCCATATGTCCAGGCCCAGTACCAGTCAGTTGAAGAGAACAGCTATACCTGAGGGCGTTTACAAAAGAGGCATGTACAGGGAGCAAACTTCAGAGAAGGGGTGAAGGGGCACCTTTAATCTTTGGAAGTAGCTTGAAAAGATATTTAACATGTCAACATCTTCAGCTTTGGGGAGAATGGTGTTTCTTTTTTCTCCTCTCTCTCCCTCCCTCCAATTCTGTTGTTTCAAGTTGAATATCTTAATTTCACAGCTGTGCCTTCCAGCAGAATATATCCTAGATGTTTATGTTGCAAAGCCCAGAGCATTGTGGTGTTTGTACTTCAGAAAAAGACTGAGATGGATTTCTCAATCATAAAAGCTGCTAGCTTGAAGGGAAAGTTCTTTGATAAGAAGGGGCTTGTCAACTCAAGTTGATCCCCAGTACCCACTCTGCAAGTTTTCCCCTGACCTTCCCATGTGCACTCTGGTATGCACACGCACACACACACTTTAAATACATGTAAAAAACAAAATGTTTGTTAAAAAGCAGGGCCAAAGTATGGTGGATTTAGACTACTGTAAAAAGTGAGCTGTAAGGAGATGCTTTCCGATCCTGCTTTCCTTCTTCAACTGGTTCGTCGTGTTTTTCCTGTAACTTTCAGTATACTATAATTTGACACTGTCGAAACTGGGTTTTCTTTGCTTTGGAATCCACGTTCAAACCTGCTGCATAGTCATAACTTTATTCCTACCGTTCCTTTCAGCCTCTTCTTGAGTTCATTAGCCCTCGTTCTTCGCCATTTGATATTGTAGGGTTCCCTTGGGGATTTCGTTGTTTTGTTTCGTTCAATCTTTAGGGGTTTTTTCCCCTTGGTTTTGAGGAAGCCTATTTATTCCAACATATTTGCCCAGCTATAGACGAAAGCTATCCAGGAAATTAACGTCAAACTGGATTTTACGTCCTCTGAGAAGGTAATATTGATATTCACAGAGAAAACTACAATGTCGAGTGTACGTTTGAGCTCCAGTGCTCCAGGCCGCAGGCACCTGCCCCTTTAAGAGGAACCTGCGGTTATTTTCCACTCGGGACGCCTGCCTTGCCCGCCCCGCCCACGCGGCAGGTGGCGGAGCTCTTTGGACTGAGGCTGCGTGGTCGTTGCCTAGCTACCGCCCTGGCCTCACGAGTCTTGTTTTCAAGATGGCGTCAGGAACTTGTTTTAGTCTGCCGAGAACAAAGCCAGAGGCACCGCCCGGAGCTCAGCGGAGAGTTGTGTGTCTGGCTATAGTGTGTTGAAAGTCAGCATTTACTTACTCTTAGAACTTTACAAAACCCTTTTCAGTTAAGTGGCTTGGATAGGAGAAAAATCAGGGGCGTGCCCCAAGATGAGTGAGCTGTAGATCTCAGCCTTTCTTTGGCAGGGCTTCTGGCCTCAAAACTGGTGCTACCTTCGTTGTTTCTTTCGACAAACATTCTCAGAATGAGATTAAAACTGAAACATGGTGTTTGGCTACAGAAACCATCTAGATACGTGTTCACTTAGGCAAATGATGGCCCGGGCCATGTACCACTCCCCCTTACAGATCTTTTGGTTGTAAATACTTGATGTTTCTGTTTTACTTTTTTCTTTAAAAGTTAATTTTTGCCCAGATAGGATCTGATGGTACTATTATAATGATTAGACTGTAAATACCTTTAAGGATATAAGCTTTGCTTTCTTTGTCTTTTTGCTTTGCTAAATAATACTGATAAACACCTACTGGTTTTTTACTATGCCAAGCACTGTGCTTGTGAGGCAAAGAACTTTTTTTTTTTTTTTTTTTTTGGTCTTGTTGAGACAGGGTCTCCCTGTAGCCCCAGCTGTCCTGGAACACACCGTGTAGACCAGGCTGGTCTCGAACTCAAAGAGATTCGTCTGCCTCTGCCTCCCAAATGCTGGGATTAAAGGCGTGCGCCATCACGCCCAGCGAAAAAGAACTTTTTTTAATGCTCGTTTTACAGATACAGAAACTAAGGCAAAAGGAGATTATTACTCTAAAATGTCCCATCTAGTAAATGGTGGAGCCTGCAAGTCAAAAATCCTTCTGTCTTTTAAGGTGCCGGTTAGGCCGTCCTGGTTTGATGCCACTTGCCTCTGAAGTGCCCGGGTATCTTCAAAATGCATCCCTTTTGGGTAGAGTGAGAAAGTCTCTTTGGATATAGAAAGTTGTGTAAGCAGATTGTTTACATTTTTATGGAGTATGGGTGGTCAGAGCAGTTAGATACCTCTGAGCAGAAGGCCCAAACCTAGACAACTCTGGTGGCAGGTGTTGAAAAAAAATCATATAGTAATCTTCTCTCACCACCCTACCCAAACCTCTTCACAAAGTAGAAGAAAAAAAGTTTCATTATTGAGTAAACAAACTTAAACGTTGTGC